AACTTAACTGCTACACAAGGCCAGCTGAGATGTGTAAAGTGCATTTCACCTGATACAACTTCATTCCTGAAATCTAGACAGTGGCTGATGCACCTAGATGACAGAATGGAAACCTCTATCTCTTTTATTCTAGGGAACTAGCATTATGCTGAATTTTCATCTAAAGCAAATATTAGGAAAATCACAGAGTGAGCCAGGATTCAGAGAGAAGTAAGGTGATGAGGTAATGGGAATACAGGACACACAGCTTTGGTCATAAAAATGTAAATGAACTAAAAAATTCCATTCAAAACAGATGACATAGCTACTAAAGGAGCAAAGGTAGAAGGGGATATAAACTGAAGAAGTTCCTTGATGGGCCCAGAGAAGAAAGCAGAGAGTCATTCTGAGCTAGGACAGTGTTTCTCAAGCTGGATTTCAAGGGTATATTCATGAGGGAAGATGGAGGTCTTTGGGTTTAACAAGAACATTCAAGATTTGTGCTTTCTTTTTGCCAGTTCTAAAGATAAAACTTGCCTTTTTTCAGTGAGAATTCTCAATTAAAAATCATGTGCAATAAAGGACATTTTAGCTCTCTTAAATAAGTGTTTCTCAAATGCTGGTTAACAAAATTCATCGTGGGATCTAGAGGATTATTTTCCTTTAAGGTTTTCTATAGTTTATTCAGATTTAGGAATCAGCGGCCTAGAGGCAGACCACACACATCCTTTGATTTTTATCTTTTTGAGGGGTTAAATCAGTTTCCTAACTTGCCCTTAGCTTACTTATGAAGAGATTAAACCTTTCTAAACTCAGAGGGCAGGTTGGGCATATTCCTCATATTTTTAATGAGTGTCATTGCTTAGAAAACATAATTCTTGTATTGAAAATGGAAGCAGCATGGTGGGATAGTGCTGGATCATGAGTCAGGAGACCTACCACTAACCCTGACCATCTCCCACAGACCATGTGTCACTTGTCCTCTCAGAGCCTTCGTGTCCTTACCTGTAAAATGAAGCAGTGGACTAGATAATTAATTACCAAGGTCACGTCCAGCCTTGATTTACCTGATTCTAACAATAAATTACAGTACCATCTTATATATCTTCTTTGAAAGGCCTATCAACTAAAAATCTTTTTCACTAGGATTTTATTTCATTTATGTCCTTTTCATTGCTACCCTCCACCACTGAGCACTGAAGGCCCAGGAGGTGATGCATTTAAAGGAAAAATCAGTCAACATTCAGTGTTCCACCTGTTGTCTACTACCATTGAGGAAGTGGGAAATTGCATTACAGAACCCAGACTCCCAGGGTTTAGTGCAAATCACACAGTGAAGAAATACTTACTCGACATTTTGTGTGCTTTTTATAGTTTTAAATGAATGAGACAGCTGTTCTCTGTATCGTGAATAGATCAAATGGAAACATAAAGGCTATGTCTGTTCTTATAGATAAAATTATTTAATGAGTAGAATCTCAGCTTGTTATTTGATTTAGCACTAAGAGGGACTTATATTTAGTGAATCCTCTGAACAAAGGTGCCAGTACAAAGGGTGATAGAACAAGACCTATCTGTGTCTGTAGCAAAGACAGAAGTGTTTGCACACATGTGCATGGAACCACCATGCCACAAATGCTTTTCCATGGGAATAAGGCTATTCCTTTTCTCTAAGAAATCCTCTCCCACTCTATGGAAAGATGGACATAGTATGTCCCATTGCCTCAGCCTTGATTGCAATATGATACCTGTGGTCAGAGGGTTCCAGAAGAGGTTTGCTTTAAAACCCGACTATGCAGCTAAAAACATCAAAACATGCAAATGATGCTCAAGCATCAGCCCCTTGTCCAGTAATAGAACTTATTCTTTTGCCCTTTTGCCTACATGGGATACCCACTGGAACTTGGCCTGACCACTTACACCTGGGAGTATCTGTTGTGCCTTGGAAGAGAATTGGGCCCTGGGACTCAGAGCAGAACTTAGAAGCTACTGCCACCAAACTCTTTAGTAAAACTCACAATGTCCTGGATGATGATGCCACAGCTGTTTTCATGCACCAAGGGCTGCAACCCTCCAAACGTGGTCCTATGGCCTGATGGACTCACTGACCCTCCAGGAGACAATGACATTGCTTGTCCCATCAACAAGAAAATTGTGGCTGCCTCTATCACTTCTGTGGAATGAAAGCCCTCCAAAGCAAGAGAATGACTTATTTGAAATCACCCTGTATTTCCCATCCTAGTTATAATTTGGCTAATTGCTTAATAATTCTGTTTAAATGTCTTTATTTCCACAAACATCAGTTCACTAGGCTACTTTTTCTGGTTGGAAATCCCTTTGCTTCTCTAAGTCTCTTGTACCCTTTCTCCCATTTTCATTTTTGCCTGAGCAACATTCTGATGCCATAAATAGCATCCCTTCAAAGAGGTGTTGAACATATCAAGGTGTCCCTCTGTGCTCCAGAGCCCAACCACTGTAATCTACATCCTTGAAATAGTACCTGTGATTGGAAGCTAAGATATAAGACTGTGTTTTTAAAAAGCCTGCTTCCCAGCCAAACAAATGAAGCTGCAATCTCTGGCAGCCCTGACCCACTCCTGCTATACTTGACTTAGTGAGAAGCTACCCAAGAAAGAAAATCCCAGACCCAGCCTTTAGAAGCCTTTAGCCTAACTGGCAGCTGAAGAGTTCAACTCTAGGGTACACTCACATATGAGAATATTATCCAGGTTTAAACTCTGCTCTAGGCAGATGCCTTCTCCAAGCACAACACTTGTGGTTGGGCACCACAGAGGTACAGACACACAAGCACGTGCCCTGCCTGTGGGAGACTGCACCTAGCTGGAAGCTGAGCACCATTGTGGGAGTAGGCTAGGCTACTAAACAGATGCTGACATGTTCCTTGCCATTCTTCCCTTATGTTTATCATGTGAAATGATGCTTTTAGCACCTGACTTTCCAACTTTAATAAGAAAATTGCTTCTATGCAGCAGAAAGAAAGAAGGAGCTCCTACCCTTTGCAACAGCATGGATGGAGCTGGAAAATATTATGCTAAACGAAACAAGCCAGGCAGTGAAAGACAAATACCATATGATCTCACCTTTAACAGGAACCTAAATAACAAAACAAAGAAACAAGCAAAATATAACCAAAGACACTGAAATAGAGGACAGGCTGATGGTCACCGGAGGGAGAGAAGAGGGAATTTAAGGGGGACAGTGGGAAGGGTTCACAGGAACAAACTTAAAGGACACATGGTCATAGACTAAGGGGAGGGTGGTAATGGGAGGGAAGTGGGGAGGGTGGGGGGGACTGGATTGGGAGTAAAAAGGAGAAAACTGTATTTGAACAATGATTAAAAAAATAATAAAAATAAATAAATATTTAAAAAAAAGAAAATTGCTTCATCCAAATGTTCACATCCCAGAGAGGCCCAACAGAGCCCCCCAAGCCTTTGAGAAAGTGAAAGAGGGCTTGAGATGACAGAGTGACAGAGGAGAGGCCTTGAGCTTCTTCTATCCTAGAACTTTCAGGGCCAGTGACAAATAAGAGACACTGGCAGGTAACAACCAAAGGAGAGAAGTAAGAAGAGGTCCAAATGGGAAGCAGGAATCAAGAGGCTATAACATCAGATTTGAGTTGTTAGAGGGAAGGAACTAAGTGGCCCTGGGTCAGAGGAGAGGACAGCCCAGGAGAGGGCTGCCCTCTCCTCTGACCCTAATCTGGGGTTTATGGAAAGTTTCACTTGTTTAAATAAGGCCTGTCTAGGGTGGCCTGTCTACATGTGCAAATGTACTATGACAAGGTGAGGGGCAGAATTACTCTGAGGGAAACTGAAGAACTATGTGGGCACTGGTACTGGCAAGCCAGGGACACAGAGTCATTAGCAAAGGCAGACTCAGCCCAGGTCATCTTTACTTACAGGTTCCTCTTAGGCTAAGGTCCCATTCTTCTGAGCTTGATTGCAATATCCTGCCAAGTGATGTCAGAGCTGATGAAATGATTCAGGGAAGGAATGGGAGAGAGAAGTTTGTCCTCCTGCATGACTTAGTAAACCACTTGGTAGTTATGACCCAACCCATCCTTGCACCAACACCTTTTAGCAATTCTCTGTGTGAGGCCCTGGATGGAAGCCAGTTAGAAAATGTGAGATGCCATCAATCCAAAGGGTCATACTTGATGATTTGTACACAGCCTTGAATTGTCCAACACAAGCCAGGCCTCAAGGTTCTAATTAATCTGTATAATTGATATTTCTTTGGAAATTTCTGGGATTTTTTAAAAAATATTTTTGATCCATGATTGGCTGAATCTGCAGATGCAAAACTGTGGATATGGAAGGCCAACTGTATTCATTTTTCTTAAAAAGCTACTCCAGATTGCTTTGGTATTTGAAATGATGTCCTCAAGAATTATAACAACAAATGGAACTATTGCTCACCCAGCAGTTTTAACTTTTTTCTTTTCTCCCAAACATTTTCATTTCTTCTATTGTTTTTCTTATTAAGTACCTAAAATTCTCTCTGAGGCTTGGCTTTGTAGAAAACTTTTGATTGTTTGTTCTTGGTGGTCTGCTCTCTGGGATGTGTGTTAAATGGGTGTTGCCTGAGGAAGCCAAAGATAAAGTAACAATGACATTAGATACTGCTTGGTATACAATAGATAATACTTGGACTGTTCCAACTATTTCAAATATAGTATTAATTCATTTCATCCTCATCACAATCTTATGAAGTGATACTATTAGACCCATTTAACAGATGAGGAGATGGGGGCACAGAAAGAGAAGACACTTGTCCAGAGTCACACAGCTAGCAATTGGCAGAGCCAACAAATGAAACCACAGTCTGAATCCCAGAAGTGTGCCGTTCATCATGGTGAATCATCATGCGTGAATCTCTGCACACTATGAATGGCATGGCCAAGAAAAACATTGTTATTTTTAACTTTTAAAAATAAAGTGTGAGCTCTTATTGTATTTTACCTATAACTGTTCTGTTTTTCCCTCCCAAACTCTCAGATGATGGAAATGCTTAAAGCAAATAAGGTAGTGTGAGACCACACCATGTAAGTGTGAGCATGGCTCCTATGGGTCCAGCTGTGTTTTGCGCGCTTCTGCCTATCATTCCCGCATGTTCTCTTCGCTGTTCGATTCCTGCTTTCGCTGCTTGGTGCTTGGGCCGCATGAACCTTCACTTTTAAGCCATAGATCTTATGTCTTTGTTCCTGATTTTATCATTGTGCTCATGGGTAGGAGCCATAGCACTTGCAGCTGTCAGCCTGGCACCTCCTAGGGAAGCAGCTGGGAGCCCCCGGGGAATGTGTGTGGATATTGTTCTCTGAAAATGAGCCCTCAGATTGTCAGCTTTTAGGATTCTAATCATGTGTCTACATTCTCGCTGCAGAATCCTAATCCACAGTGTGGAAATGAATGTAGGACTCTCCCTATGGGCCAAGGTCACCCCTGGTGAGCCTTAATTAGACAGTGCTCTTCAGGGGCCACCAGCCTACACAGACTATTGCTCTATGAGTCTTTATAGGAGTAGATGCTACATGAAAACAAATACCACTGTGCCAGATAATGGGGCTAAATTAGAAACATGTTAATCTTCTCATTCATTATTTTCTCTGTAACTGTATATTGCTAGATTATGGACATACATATATTGAACAAACCTGTGGTTATAAAGGATTATTAAGGCAGGTATGGGCTATATTGGCCCTTCATTATATACACATATGCAGACACACACAATCACAATCTCTTTTGGTGTTCCTTGAATCTATATAAACTATATTTCCACTTTAAGTGGATCAATATGTGAAAAACTAGGTTTATAGATAAACTGGGAGAGAGAAATTTGTGCCTGATAAAGAGTATACCTGGAACATTTAAAATAAGGCCCCACATGACTATGATTTCAGAGTGGTAACTGCCTCATTTTCTTTCAATCTCAAAGTTTCGTGTATGTGTTAAATGGGAATTAGGAGGAAACTTCTCAAGTTGTCAGAAATCATAAGAATTTAAAAACTGAAAGGGATCTCACAAGATGTGACTGAGCACTACTCAGTCCCCTGCAGTGTTGAGCCCACAACCCTGGAATCCTGGAATCCTGGAGCTGAAGCATCTTTAGAGATGCTTCACTCCAAACCCCTTAGCTCATAAACAATGACTGAGGTCTTGAGAGAGAAATTAATTTGCCCAAGATGGGGCAGAGCCTGGATTGAAACTCAGTCCTCTTTCCATCAAAGCATATCATCAGTATATGGTCCCAGCTCCTTTCTCTCTGGTTGAAAACCCTCCTACACAGCCAGGAAAGGTTTGCTTGTTTGTTTTAAGTGAATAAAAGTGAAGGAGCTTACATCCCAAAAAAGGACTCAAGTCCCAGTCCTGGCTCTATCACCAAATATCTGGAAGAGCTTGGAAAATTATTATGCCTCCCTGGACCTCTGGCTCTTCATCTGTCATAAGAGTTTAAGAGCAGTGTTTTCAAAATGTACACCATGCTAAGTTTGCTTCTAGCCTCAGGCTGTTTTTTCATACAGTTTCTTCCCAGCAGCATTCATTTCCCACTATAGGGTTAAGGAAAAAGTCATAGTCAGGCTGTGCAAAGGGGGATGACCCACGGAAGCAAAGGCCCTGTGAGTCTGTTTTTACCTGAAGCAGGATGAAGAAGGTACAGATGAGAAGTGAATAGCTGGCCCCCCTTATATGGACCTATGAAACTGAGGTGGACATGGCAAACATCTGATTTGGCTATCTCAGTTATGCTGGTTTCTGTACTTTGGGGTTTTCTGGCAGGTATCTACTTCTCTCCTTTCCAAGACACCATTGATTAGAGCTCTGGAACTGAAGGAGACCCAGTAGGTGAACAAGATTATATTTTCTCCTTTCAGTGTATGGCTTACCAAGTTAACAGGGCCAGGGAAGTCTCTGAGGCAGTAAGAGAATAATTTGAAAGACAGTAAGGCAAGAGTAGAGACCCACACATGCCAGCTCCCAGCATAGTTTTGAGATACACACCTTGTTTACATAAAATTATAGAAGTACAGATGTTAACCATACAGGCAGTGTCATTTTAACAGAGATTTTTTCTTCTATGGTAAGCCCATGGTACTTTTATAATGCACCTTTTTTTTCCTTTTTTTTTCTTTTTCTTTTTTTTAGAGAAAGAGGAGAAGGGAAGGAGAAAGGGAGGGAGAAATACATCAATGTGAGAGAGTAACATAAGTTGGCTTCCTTTCATACATGCCCCAACTGGGGACCAAATCACAGCCTAGGCATATGCTTTGACCACAATTGAACTGATGACCTTTTGGTTTACAGGACAGCACCCCCACCAACTGAACCACACCGGCCAGGGCTATGATACACCTTTTACCATTACTTGTCTTAATATTTTGGCCCATTTTGGTTTCCAAGTTTGGCTTAACATGCAACTTTTTCCAACTGGCCTATAGTAGCATTCCCTGAATCTGATGCTGATTGAAAGTTGGATGAAAAGAATGGAAAGGGTATGGTGGGGTGGGGAAAATTACAGAGGTTGTTGACTTCCTGTGCACATCTGAGGTTAATGCTACTGGATGAAACAGCACGGCAAAGAGCTGTGACCTCAGAAAGTACTAGTGGTGAAGAATTTCAGCTTCAGAATTTTGGTGGAGAAGGGGCTTTTGAGGCAGCAAATGTGGCTAGAAAAGTTGTACTAGAGGATACTCACAGACGCATTTCAGTGGCACTTCACATAAGATTAAACATTTTCAGTTGAACATGGCATTTGGAGGGAGCCGCTTCTGGAAATTATGTTAAGGGCCCACAATTCCCCTTCTTGGCAACCGTCATTGATTGCCCTGGTGTTACGATTCTTTCTCCTGTGACAACCGTAGTGCTGTTTGAAGAGGAAAAATAACATCCTAGGCAGCCACACAATACCAGTGAGGCAGAGGTCATGCACTCCTCACCTTATTTTTCCCTTTCTTGGTGAGCCCCCTTAAACTTAAACAAGTCTGAGAGGGGAGGGACTTCAAGCTTCTTCCAGTTCCTTGCCTTCCCCTCGCTGGGATCACCATTGTCCTGCTGTGACCTCTGGTGGCCATTTTGGTAACTGCAGATGTCTGAGGACCAAGGAGAGGAGCCAAAGGTAATGTGAGCTGCCCCTGAACCACAGCCAGCACACCACCGCAGTCGGTGGGGGCCTCAGCCTGAACTATTGTACTTTCTAGATAGAAAAAAGGAAGCATCTGTGTCCTGAGATCCCTGAGGCCCAGAGGCCTGGTGATTTCTTGTATGTGAATATTGAACCCCTCAACTCCCCACACCCAAAAAGCCTGGCTTTTTACTGATGAGTTCTGCCTGGTTAGCCATGGTAATGAGAACTCTGCCTTCCTTTGTTTTTCAAGTTATTCCATCTTAATTCTGGGACTTTCTGGAAGTGCTAGATTTAGCCAGTCCTTCTTGTCTTGCCCTAGAACAGACCTATAACCCCATTTTTATCTGAAACCAAACTGAGCTCCTGAAAGTCTGAAGCTCCAGCCACCAGAAGCCTGGTTGCCTGACAAATTCTGGCACCATTTGCTCCCTGAGGTCCCTGTGTAGGGGCCTGGTTCCTGGGGCTGGTGGACTGCACTGCTCTCCTAGACATTCACCTCCTGGACAAGGAGAAAGCAAGCCCTCCACCACCACTGCCTCCTACACGCTGACCCTCAGTAAACAGGTTACATCTAACTGACACAAGACTAAAGCATTGTCATTGCTTTAACCCAGTGCTTCTCAATGTGTGCTCCCCAGACCATAAGTATGAATATCACCCAGGAACCTGTTGGAAATGCAGATCCTCAGGCCTCACTCTAGACCCACTGACTCATAAGCTCCAAAAGTGGGGCCTAGCCATCTGTGTTTCCCAAATCCTCCAGATGCTTCTGAGGCCTGTTCAAGTTTGAGAACCATGTCTCCAAGCACAGATTTGCACCTGTCAGTGCACATAGGGCTGCAGACTCTTACCTTCTTTAAAATGTAGGTACTGACCCCTCACCCACAGAGATTTAGTAGTTCTGCCATCAGGATGAAGAAATCTGAATTTTAAACCATCATTCCATGTTATTATGATGTGGGAGAGCCACAGATCACCATTTTGAGAAATTCTGCTCCACAAATTCTCTTGAATTAGATGTAAATATTGTTCCCATAGCTCACCAGTCATGAAAGAGGTTTCAGGAGTATATCATGGCATGCCAGGTCTTTAGGGAGTGTCATATTGTTCCCCTGACATAGTTTTTACTGCCACTGTGAGGAAAATCTCAGTGAAGTCTGTATCATAATCCTAAAGGGAAATCTTCTTCTGGAAAGAGATGTTAATTACTGAGGGAACAGAAAATACAGGAAACCTGGGGCCACAGAGAAACTAGATGTGTGGGGTGCCGTGCCAAGCTCGGTCAACAGCCATGGGTCATCTTTAGGCTGTGAGTCCATCAGACAGCATTGCCCTTCCTTCTCCCTTCTCAAGCAGAGATTTAGTGGAGGCTTCCCCATAGAGCCCAAGAGGCTAATTCATGATAACGTTGCACTACTAGGAAGAAAGGGTTTTTGAAGCTTAAGGTTATGAATGCATTTGGTTCATATGGCCTCTGCTTTGATCACCCTGGAAAAATAGAGTTCGTTTTTGTGAATGAGAAATCCCAACTCTCCTCAATGCAACTCTGGACCCTACTGGGAGCTCCAGAAGGGATTTTCCATTGCTTTTCTGGCCCATTTAACTTCCCCATCAACTCCACCCCACCTCTCCAGTTCTCTCCAGAGCATCACCCCTTGGTAGGGCCCCAGTTCATTAGGATTGCTCTGAGAAGACAGAAATACTGAGTCTCATTTTAAAGGATCTGACAGGAGCAGAGCAGGAGATTTGGCGCTGATACTTCTTGCTGCCACCTAGGATCCTCAGTCATTGTTTAGGACCAGCATACACAGACATTGTCTGCTTGGAGCAGTAGCTCTAACAGGTGAAGCCTCTATTCTTTCAATTCATGGGAATAAAAGAGGCAAAAATCTGTCTCCCTTCCTTCCTTTCCTTTTTTCT